GCAAAGGCGGCCATGAGCGAGGCGAGGTGTGACTCGAGCGAGTCTGCGCGAGCGGCGAGGAGATCGGCCTCGACGGAGGCGCGCGAGATGAAGATGTCCATGGCGGAGGAGACGCCGGTGAGTGCATGTGCGGCGGCGCGGACCTTGGCGTGGAGGGCAGCGACTTCGGCGTGGAGGGAGGAGAAGGAGAGCTTTGCGGCGCGCTCGAGGTCAGGCATGTCGTCACGCCAGGCCAGGAGGGTGGGTGCGGAGGCGCGGACGAGAGTGGCGAGGTAGTGGAGGACTGAGAAGTTATGGCGTGATGTGGCGCGGGTATCGCGGAGCTTGGAGAGGATGTCGAGCTTGAAGGCGGCGGCGTTGCCGCGGCGAGAGCCGGCGTTGAGGCGGTTGCCGATGCGGCGAACGAGGACCAGGAGGCTGCGGAGGGTAGACGAGGAGCGGGCCTGGGTGACGCCGCGGGTGAGGGCATCGAGGCGATCACGGAGGTCTGCAACCATCGAGTCAAACTCGAGGCGGAGGAGCATGCCAGCGACGCGCTCCGAGTAGCAGTCGATGTCGAGGATGGCTGCGAAAAAGCGCTCGGGAGCGCCGAGGGCGTCGATACTGTCCAGCTCGGGCTCGTGGTCGAGGTACTCGCGGACGAGGGCGAGCTCGTCGTCGTGGGGTGCGTACTTGAGCAGGGCCGAGAGCTGGTGCGGGGTGAAGCTGGAGACATCGGTGTTGGCGATGGCGGCGGCGATGTCGTTGGCAGATGCAAAGGAGGCGTCAAACTGTTTGAGGGTGATGGCGATGTTGTTGGCGCGCTTGACCTGGAGGAGGCGAATTTTTGAGGACTTGTGGCGCGGACGGCGGGCCGAGGAGTTGGCGTCGGAGGAGGTCGCGGTCTTGGCGAAGAGCTTGACAAGGGCGGACTCGTCGAGCGGGAGGTGTGCGATGGTTGGCAGGGTATCTGAGAGTTGCTCGGGCGTGAGGGTGTCCTTCCAGACAGTGGTGTCGAGCTTATCCGACGGGATCTTTGTCCAGAACAGCGGCTTGAGCGGCGGGAGGGCAGGGGCCTGGCCTGGAGGCGGTGGTGGCGGTGGAGCAGCAGCTGGCGGGGGAGGGGGCGGCGGCGGTGGCGGCGGCGGCGGCGGTGGTGGTGGAGCAGCAGCGGGCGGAGTGGGAGGGGGCGGCGAGGGCTCGGCGGGGGGAGAGACGGAGCGCTTCTTGGCGAGGATGGCGTCGATTTCCTCGAGGGAGAGGGCTTCAGCAGCGAGGTTTGCGCGAGGCGGGGCAGCGTCTGTGTGTTCGGCAGAGTCAAGGACGACGGCGCGGTGGAGGAGGCGCTGGACAAAAGGCCATGCGACGGATGCGAGAGCGTTGTCTGAGGAGATGATGAAGAGGTGCTGCATGATGTGGAGAAAGGCGTCTGCGGCGGGGGAGGAGGCGAGGCGGGCGTCGATGGCGCGGAAGAGCGAGGCGGGCGAGGAGAGGTCGACCTCGTGGGCGGATGCGATGGTGGCGAGGTCTGAGGAGTCTGCGGCGTGCGAGGCGTGAAAGGTGGCGAGCTCTGCGAGGAGGGCGCGGTGGGCACTGTTGGAGAGAGCCGAGTCTGTGGACTTTTGGTCGAGGTGGGCCTTTGTCTCGAGGTGGACGAGGTCGAGGAGCTCGTTGAGGCCCTCGCGCTCGAGGGCAGAGCGGAGCTCGATGCGGTCCTCGATGGTGGATGTGGCGCTGAGGAGGGTGTTGAGGAGGCGGAGGGCTGCGGCGCGAAGGTAGGGCTCGTCGCAGGTGTCGAGAAGGGCGACCAGGAGCGAGAGCGGGGCATGCTTGACCGGGAGATGCGAGGCGGAGGGAGCGGCGGAGTGGCGCGCGGCGAGGGCGAGGGCGGCGAGGATGGCGTCAGGGACGTGTGTGGCGGCTTCAGCGACGCGGGCGACAAAGTCGAGGAGCTGGGCCTGGCCGCGCGGGTTTGAGGAGCCTGGGGCGACAGCAGCGACGACGAGGAGCTGGAGCGAGTGGGCGGCCGAGGGAGCGGCAAAAGCGGTGACGGCCTCACGAGTAGCTAGCAGGCGGGCGCGGGCGAGCATGGCGAGGAGATGGACGCCGAGGCGGACGAGGGAGGGCGGAGCGGAGGAGACGGAGTTGTCGAGAAAGGCGACGTAGGCGTTGATGGCCTCGACGCCTGCGGCGTGGATAAAAGCCTCGAGCCAGGAGGAGGAGGCCGACTTGAGGAAGCGGCAGAGGGTGAGGAGGAAGAGAAAGGCCTCGCCGGCCGAGTGAGCCGGGACGTCGGCGTCGATGTAGGAGACGGCGGCGAGAGGGTCAGCGGCGAGGCTGGCAAGCGAGAGCAGGCGGCGGGACGAAAAGCCATCGGCGGAGGCGGCGGCGAGAGGGGGGAGGCCGCGGGCCCAGGCGAGGACGCGCTTTGCGGTGATGCGGCGCCAGGGCGAGAGGCGAGCGGCGGCGGCGTGAGCGGCAGAGGACTTTGCCGAGACGACGCGCTTGAGATCTGAGAGATCGAGCTGGCGCTTCTGCTTGAGGCGTAGGGTGACCATGGAGTCTAGCTGCTTCTCCCGCGACTCGAGCATGAGGGTCAGGTCTTTGACCCGCTGGTTCAGCTCGATGATTCTCTGATTCTTGTCGCTCACGGCCTGGCTCATCATCTTTGCCACGGCGGATGAGAGCTTTGACTTTGCATTGGCGGATCGAAAGGCGTTGAGGGCGGTAGTGAGAGCGACGGGCGAGGATGAGTCGAGCTCGAGTTTGGGCTCGAGTTCGGGCTCGAGTTTGGGCTCGAGCGAGGTGGAGGAGGAGGGTGTGGTGGTGAGCGAGTCGGCCATGGCAGCCGAGCGCCATGATGGGTAGTCGAAGGGGGCGGCGAGGAGGGAGGAGGTCTCGGCCAGGCGGGCTGCGGCAGCTTGGCGGGCTTTGGCGAGTGCTGCTACAGCTGGTGGGGGT